TAATTAAGTTAGTTTTCTTACTGCGATAATTCTGGTTCACGTATATTTTTCTTCTAGAAAGAAGATTACTGAATATTATAATAATTGGCCGGGTTTCTGTAGAAATATTTGCCTCTCGTGACATAAATGAAAACATTGTTGAAAACGATATATTTATTTACATTTTAACAAACAGTACAAAGGGTTTCGCTTCCATTTTTGTAGAAAAAAAAAACATTTTGAAAGTAAAAGAGTTTTTTTCTCCCTTCCACATAGTACTCTCCACGACCTTTTCTGCTCTGTAGCAATCCTGTCTTTTTCAGGAATCTATTCTATCCAGGAACTGTTCTGCTATGCAGCATCCCGTCTTTTCCAGAAATCTATTCTATCCAGGAACTTCTCTGCTATGAAGCATCCCGTCTCTTCCAGAAATCTATTCTATCCAGGAACTGCTCTGCTATGCAGCATCCCGTCTTTTCCAGAAATCTATTCTATCCAGGAACTGCTCTGTTCTGCAGCATCCCGTCTCTTCCAGAAATCTATTCTATCCAGGAACTGCTCTGCTCTGTAGCATCCTGTCTTTGCCAGGAATCTAGACATCTATTCTATCCAGGAACTGCTCTGTTCTGGAGCATCCCGTCTCTTCCAGAAATCTATTCTATCCAGGAACTGCTCTGCTATGCAGCATCCCGTCTCTTCCAGAAATCTATTCTATCCAGGAACTGCTCTGCTATGCAGCATCCTGTCTTTGGCAGGAATCTATTATATTGAGGAACTGCTGTGCTCTGCTCTGCAGCATCCCGTCTTTTCCAGAAATCTAGACTATCCAGGAGCTGCTCTGCTTTGTAGCATCCTGTCTTTTCCAGGAATCTTTCTATCCAGGAACTGCTCTGCTCAGCATCATCCTGTCTTTTCCAGGAATCTATTCAATCTAAGAACTGCTCTGATCTGCAGCATCCTGTCTTTTCCAGGAATCTATGCAATCCAGGAACTGCTCTGCTGCATCCCGTCTTTTCCAGAAATCTAGACTATCCAGGAACTGCTCTGCTCTGCAGCATCTCATCTTTTCCAGGAATCTAGACTATCCAGGAACTACTCTGCTCTGCAGCATCCCGTCTTTTCCAGAAATCTAGACTATCCAGGAACTGCTCTGCTCTGCATCATCCTGTCTTTTCCAGGAACTGCTCTGCTCTGCAGCATCCCGTCTTTTCCAGGAATCTATTCTATCCATGGAAACTGCTCTGCTCCATGCAGTATCCCGTCTTTTCCAGGAATATATTCCATCTAGGAACTGCTCTGCTCTGCAGCATCCCGTCTATTACAGGAATATATTCCATCTAGGAACTGCTTTGCTCTGCAGCATCGTTTGTTTTCCAGAAATATATTTCACTCACGAAGTGCTGCTCAGCTCTGCAGAACCCTGCAGAAATAAAATCAACGCTCTCATCTCAAAACTCAGGAAAATCCAGTAGGGTAGAATTTTTTCCAGTACTCAAAACATACACTGGCTGTTTTATACATTTGAGAATCTAAACAATCATCGATCCTACTGCTGCTTCGGACTTAAATCAATGATTTTTTAGTCTCCAATTTACATCCCAACGGGGCTCATCTTTCTTCAATCATATGCTGTCTAATTATGATTCCCGGATTTTCTAATTTATACTCGGGGATTACTAATATTTTGGATTGTTCAGAACAATTTCTTGAATATATTCTATATTGATGTTCACATCTATCAATATATTGAAAAAAGTTGGATTTATCTTTTATATAGTTGTATGTGTCCATTGAATATTTTCAATTTTACTAAATAGAAACTATCAATATATTTCGTCCATTGGATGGTTGTGTCCAACCTACAAACTTTTCATCTTATATCTGTATATGTATCTATATATAAATATATATATCTATCTATCTATCTATCTATATATCTATCTATCTATCTATCTATCTATCTATCTATCTATTTTAGTTGTTCAAAGAATTGTAACTACTGAGGATTGTCATGATAGACGTGAAACATTATGTTTAGTATAATTCTTTTTTAATAAAAAAATACTATTTATATATAGATACATATACAGATACTAGAAATTCAAGGCGCTTCGCGCCCTTCTTTCTAGCCTTAGAGGGCGCTTCGCGCCCATCTCCTAGATTAATTGTGAACATGTTCTCTTTGTGTACATCGTAAAACAAAACAAAAATAATTCGCGGATTTTCACAAAAAATTTCGCGGATTTTCAAAATTTTAAAAAATTTAATGACGATCGAATTTTGATGGAGACAAATATTTGAAATTTTGATGATTCATAAACCTTCCCTGGAGTCCCTAGATGTCCCACAAAAAATTTGGGCCCGATCGGTTCAGTCGTTTTGACGTTTATTGGATACAAACAGACAGACAAGCCAAATTTATATATAAATAAGATCGGGAGTCAAAGTTAGATCTATCTCTGTGGTTAGATGTATCTATCATGTATGACAGAGTTATAAGTAACTCCCGAAATTCATGGAATTTATCCAGGAACTGCTCTGCTCTGCAGCATCCTGTCACTACCAGGAATATATACTATCCAGGAACTGTTCTGCCCAGGAACTGCTCTGCTCTGCAGCATCCTGTCATTCCCAGGAATATATACTATCCAGGAACTGCTCTGTTCTGCAGGATCCTGTAATTCCCAGGAATCTATTCTGTCCAGGAACTGCTCTGCTCTGCAGCATCCTGTCATTCCCAGGAATATATACTATCCAGGAACTGCTCTGCTCTGCAGGATCCTGTAATTCCCAGGAATCTTTCTATCCAGGAACTGCTCTGCTCTGCAGCATCCTGTCATTTCCAGGAATATATACTATCCAGTAACTGCTCTGCTCTGCAGGATCCTGTAATTCCCAGGAATTTATTCTGTCCAGGAACTGCTCTGCTCTGCAGCATCCTGTCTTTACCAGGAATATATACTATCCAGGAACTGCTCTGCTCTGCAGGAGCCTGTTATTCACAGGAATCTATTCTGTCCAGGAACTGCTCTGCTCTCAAGCATTCTGTCTTTACCAGGAATATATACTATCCAGGAATTGCTCTGCTCTGCAGGATCCTGTAATTCCCAGGAATCTATTCTGTCCAGGAACTGCTCTGCTCTGCAGCATCCTGTCTTTTCCAGGAATCTATTCTGTCCAGGAACTGCTCTGCTCTGCAGCATCTTGTCTTTTCCAGGAATCTATTCTGTCCAGGAACTGCTCTGCTCTCAAGCATCCTGTCTTTACCAAGAATATATACTATCCAGGAACTGCTCTGCTCTGCAGGATCCTGTAATTCCCAGGAATCTATTCTGTCCAGAAACTGCTCTGCTCTGCAGCATCCTGTCTTTTCCAGGAATCTATTCTGTCCAGGAACTGCTCTGCTCTCAAGCATCCTGTCTGTACCAGGAATATATACTATCCAGGAACTGCTCTGCTCTGCAGGATCCTGTAATTCCCAGGAATCTATTCTGTCCAGGAACTGCACTGTTTGTTTAAAAAAATTACCATAAATTTTGCAAATTTACAAACAAACAGTTTGTGCTATATACGATTGAAGCTGTCTCTTTAGATTGTAAATACACTGTAAAAAAAGAATGTTTAAATACTTCAATATTTGATGGACCGAACACTTTTAAAGCGTTAATACATTTTCTTTAAAGTTTTATCAAAAATTGTATTCAAAAATTAAAAAAAATATAAAATAAGTTTTTATTTTCCCCAATTTTCATGGAGTAACTTTGTATAACCACCTGAATGTTCTTGGCTTGGTTTAAAAATTTTAATTAAGCGGGTTGACTTTTTTATAGCAAAAGTTAGTTTACAAGCAAAGCTGGGTTCCCAAGCTAGTCTGATCTAATTGAAATATATAATAGTACTGTTATCCTGTTGTGTTTGTATAAGTATATTAGTATATGTAAATTAACAGTATAATAGTGTTTATCCTGGTATAGTATTATATAGTATACAGTATTCCCTTAATCTATTTTCATTCACAGTTAATCCCTCTTGTAATTCCCCTACCGTTCTTTAAGGTTTACCTTCCCTGAGACAATGTATCCTACATGCTATGTTGTAACAACCCCCCCC